GCCCTGATTGCAGGACCAGTGCTCTATCCACTGAGCTAGTAAATGTCAGAGGCAAGATCTGAAGGAGAAGCAGCGCAGAGTTGGGCTTCTGAGGCACCTTCCAGGTCTATACCTATGACACTTTGAGGTTATCCTCATTCTCCAAATATGTGATGAAAAAAGGCATGGATAAACACAGCAGCCCTTCTGTCTAACCTAGGCATAATAGTAACAATAAAATACATTATTTAATATATTCCATTATCTATAAATATATGTAATATAGAACACATAATACATTTTATATATTGGTTATACATTAAATAGATATAAAATATAATAATAAAAAGTGCTGTGATCTATGGAAACAATGTTCATTTATTTAGGAATGTTTATTCCTCATCTGGATACCTTCATGTTCTTGTAAGGCGAGGGGGGAACTCTTCCAAATATTTCACAGCAAACAGAAGATACTGTAATGAGTAGAAAGGCTGCTTTCCACTGGTAGGGATAGAGGGAGGAATATCTCCCTCCCCCACACCCTCATGCAAGGCTGAAGGCAAACTGTCGGCATGCTGCACTCCACAGAATGGGTTATTTGAAATGTACCAGCTGCTTCAGCCACTCAAAGAGACTCCCATTGCCAAGAACACTGGAGGAAGGAAAGGTATTTTTGCAAGTAAAATGCCTCATATTTGAACAGGGGGTACACCTAAAAGAAGGAAGGAAAAGAAAGAAATAAGCACCTATTTCCGTGAAGAAGAAGCGAGCATGCATTTATTCAGTGCCTATGATGTGCCAGGTATTGTGCAAACAGGGTTAAGTGACTTCATACAGCTAGTAACAACAGTATTGTGTTGTTATAAATATCCCATTTGATCTTCACAACAACCTTGGGAGGTAAATGCAAGTAGGATCCCCATTGTACAGTTGAGGAAACTGAGGCAGACAGATTAAGTGACTTGCCTAAAGTCACCCAGCTTGTAAGTGTCTAAGGCTGGATTTGAACCTCAGGTCTTCCTGACCTTAGGTGCAGGGCTCTATCCACTGTGCCACCAAGTTGGAGCTGAGGGAATTACCTATCATGCCCTGATGCATATGCCAATTGTGTTTCGCCCATGTGCAAATCTGAATGTGCATTTATGGGATGGTGTGTGCTTGCAAACCCATAATCGAATGGCTCTTTGAATGGGGGTATAGAGTATGCATGGTGTATATATGTATATACATATAGTATTGTAGTGTGGTGGGGCGCGGGAGGGGGGTAGGTGTTGTTCAAGGTGAACACAGCACTGATTTGGAGTCCAGAGGACCTGAGTTCAATTTGTTCCTCAGCTGCTTTCTAGCTCCATGCTCTGGATTTGGGTTTGGAGAGCCTGCGGTCAGATCCTGACTCTTCTACTCAGGACTAGAGTTGGGAGTTGGAAGGAACTTCAGAAGCCATCTGGTCTAACCCCTCCATTGAGGGAACCAAAGTGAAGAGGCATCATTTGAATCCAGGCCTCTCACTCCAGTGTCAAGGCTTTTCCCACTGTCCAGGCCAATTAGACTTTCTTCCTGTGTATACTGGATTGGGATTCCAGAGAACTGGGTTCAGATCTTGGATTTTATACTTTCAGCCTGTGTGACCGTCCTTGAGTCAGCAAATAATCTTTAAAAGTAAGGGAAGAGGGAAGACAGGGCATTCAGAGTGCAAAAGGTTTGGATTTCACTTTAAAAGGAATGATCCCATTTTAAAATTTGTTGTTCAGTCATGTTTGACTCTTTGTGACCCTTTTGGGTTTTTATTGGCAGAGATACTGGATGGGTTTGCCATTTCCTTCTCCAGCTCATTTTACAGATGAGGAAACTGAGGCAAATAGGGTGAAGTGACTTGCCCAGGGTCATACAGTATGTGTTTGAGGCTGGATTTGAACTCGGGTCTTCCTAACTCTAGGCCTGGTACTTTATTCACTGCAGCGCCACCCCATTTAAATCCGCCCTCCCATTTAAAAATGGTTCCTTCTCTATGTACGTCCCAGTTTTAAAATACACAGAAAACTTTAGAAAGTAGCACAAAACATTACAGCTAATATTTTAACAAAGAGAAATAATGTTACTTTGATCTGATAGCTAATATTGTAACAAAGAGAAATAATGTTACTGCCTTCTCGCTCAGATTGTCTCCAATTTATCCCAGTATATGGCTTGTAAATTACATAGTGGTTTGTACTATGTTTCCCTAATAGAATGGGAGGTACTTGAGGGTGGGGATTGTTTTTACCTTTCATTATATGTCCTGTGCCTAACACAGTGCAAACCACTCCAGTATCTTCGCCAAGAAAACCCCAAATGGAGTCACACTGAGTCAGACGTGACTGAATAACAACAAATACACAACGGCTCCATTTGTTACCTGTCAGTCTGTTACATTGGAATTACAATGCATTGTATTTCATGGTATTTAAAGGTTTCCAAAGCACTTTACATACATATTATCTCCTTTGGTTCTCGTTTTGAAGTAGGTGCTGTTATTATCTATCTTTCTTGTTTTCTAGATTAGGAAATGAAGGATGTGTAAGGTTCGGTGAATGGCCAGAGAGCCCAATCAATTTCTATCCTGGGCATGATTCAAACACAGGCTTCCAGACTTCAGATTCAGGATTCTATCCACTGTGCCACATTGCCTTTGTGGCTAGAGTCTTAAGGCTTGGAATCAGAAAGATCTGGGAGCAAATCTTGCCTTAGACTGCTTTGTGGTCCTGAGCAAGCCACTCACCCACTCTGCGTCTCAGTTTCCTCAAAGATAAAACTAGGATGATTTTTTTTTCTTTGGCTAGGCAATGGGGTTAAGTGACTTGCCCAGGGTCACACAGTTAGTGAGTGTTATGCGTCTGAGGTCACATTTGAACTCAGGTCCTCCTGAATTCAGGGCCAGTGCTCTATCCACTTCGCCACCTAGCTGCCCCCTAGGATGACTTTTTAAAAAGCTCTACCTTAAGGGCAGCTAGGCAGCACAGTGGCTAGAGCTCCAGCCTGAGTTCAAATCTAGCTTCAGACATTTGACACTTACTAGCTGTGTGACCCTGGGCAAGTCACTTAACCCAAATTGCATCACTGAAAAGCAAAAAACAAAAACAAAAACAAAAAAAACTTCACCTCATAGTGAGGGTCAAATGAAAGGAGAGATATAATGTGCTTTGCAAATCTTATGGTACTATTTACATGTCTTCCATTATTAATAAAAATGTACACATGAGTCACCAGACCCACAGGGAAATAACAGAGAGAGACATTTATACCCAGCTAATGCAGCTGTTGGAGAGCAGGCACCCTTTATGGCCAGAAATCCAACATAGTACTTGTGCACACGCACACACACACACACACACACACACACACACACACACACACACCCAAAACAAGGCCACAGGCTAACAGGGAGCTAACACAGCTGTTAGAATAGACAGACACACTTTATTAGACAGAAATCCAGGATACTCTGCATTCACACCACCAAGACACAAGAGCAGCTCAAGGGATCAAAAGAAAGCTAAAACGGCTGTTGACATATGTCATACATAATGCCTAATATAGCTCTTGTGAAGTCCAAATCAGAAAATAGACGTGACTTTCCCCCAACACATACTTTTTTCTTTGCAGAGGTGGAGGACTATGGGTGTGGAGCATCGCATACATGGTAAGATCCTATGGATGGGCTAGTTGGGTTTAGTGAACTGTTTTTTTTTTTTTCCTTTTTCATTCTTTGTTATTAGGGATGGTTTGCTGGGTAGGGGGAAGTCTGGAAGGAAATAATCAGAAATGAAGGTAACATAAGAACATTAAAAAAAAAACATTGCAACAAGGGGCAGCTAGGATAGAACTCTGGCCTTGGAGTCAGGAGGACCTGAATTCAAATCTTGCCTCAGACGCTTGACACTTACTAGCTGTGTGACTCTGGGCAAGTCACTTAATCCTGATTGCCTAACTAAAACAAACAAAAACAATATGGCAACATTTTAAAAAATGTATGTAAAGCACATATTTCAAATCTTAATGCTATATAAATGTCAGCTATGCAGCAATGTATGTGCTGTGCTGAATTTCTTTCAATACAGAGGGGAAAGAGGAAGGGAATGAGCATTCATCAAGTATCTACCACGTGCCAGGCACTGTGCTAATCACTTTACAAATATTTTCTCATTGCTCTATACACCATTAGCTTCCTTTCGGTAGGTTGCGTTGTTTTTGTGTCTGTGTGGTTGTGGCTACACAATGTGCAGAATTGCTGGGTGTGCAATGACTCTGCCAACAGTCTCATTAGCTTCCTTTTCGTAAATTGCGTTGTTTTTGTGTCTGTTGTTATGCATTGGGTTTCTGGGTATGCAGTGACTGCAAACAGCTGCATTAGCTCCTTTCTGGTAGGCTGTGCTGTGTTGGTGTCTAGCGGGTTGTGTGTCTACACAAAGTGTGCATGCGGAGTGCCCTCACGCCCATAGCGGTCACTGGAACCCGGTTATCAGTTGCGTCGTTTTGGTGTCTGGGCAGTGCGTGCGCGCGCGCTCAGGATTCTCTCTCCCCCCCCTCCTTCGCGGCTCTGCGGGGGCTCGCGAGCGTGCACACGCCCTATGAGACTGAGCGCACGCACAGGCCCCGCCCCCGGCTGCCTCGGCCCCGCCCCCGCCTCTCCGGCTCCGAGGACATCTCCGAGTTCCGTAAACACATCTCTCTCCTCCCCAGCCCGGCTCGGACCATACCACTTTCTGCCCGCGGGGAGAGCCCTCTCGCGCAGCCCTCCGCCGTCGAGGCCGCGGTCCCCACGCCCCGGCCCCGCGCCGTCCTCGTGGGTGCATCTTCTTGGCAGCGCCTCTCGGGCCTCACGCGGGATCCGGCCAGGGGCGGGCGGGCTGCGGGATGGGCCGCCCCGGGTCCGCACTCCCCCCCACGGGTCGGGCGTAATGGGCCACGCCTTGGCTGGCTGCACTGTCCCTCCGGGCCCTTTAAATGCCGCGTGGGGCCGGGGGGAGGACGGAGGGAGCTGGCGAGCGGCGCTGTAGGAGGGCGGTCCAGAGGGCTAGCGGCGGAGCCGAGCCGAGTGGAACCGAGCCCGGGCGCGGACCGGCACAGACAGGACGGGACGGGACAGGACAGGACGGGAAGAGGAGCTGCCTGTCTCCACGCCCGGCTCGGTGGGTAGCCCACGGCTACGCGCGTTGGGGTCGAAGAGCCAGCCTGCCCCGAGGTTGGTGTGGGATACAGACTCCTCCTCGTCCCGGCCCCCCCAGATCCACGGGGATCCCGAGCCCCCCACTTCAGCCTTGACTTTATTTCGGGGACGGGGAGGGAGGCAGCCCCCGTTTCGTGCCCGGGGACAACCCCTCCCCGGTGCGTCTCTCACTTGTTTGTCCCCGAACCGCCGTCCCGCGTGGGAGCGGCGAGGAAGGGGAGGGGGAGACTGGTGGGCGGCCCGGGATTAGCTGGCATCCCCCGTCCCGGGTGGGAACCCGAGTGCCGGGGCTTGTTTACGTCCGTGCTGGGCAGGTGCCAGCGTGTGCGCTCCGAACCAGCTTCCAGAAATACTCCTCGAGAGGAGACAAGGGCAGGACTTGGGGCGGGGGGCACTTGTCAGCCCCCTCCCCATGCTCCCCAGAATGGGCATCCCACTCCTGACCTGTCCACTTACTCTCCTCTCTGGACCCCGCCCCAAAGGACTGGGCAGGGGGCACTTGTCCCTCCACCCTGCTCCTGACCTGT